ATCACTCAGTGATCACTTCAGTCCAGATGGTTTCACTGAGTTTATAATTACTGTTTTGAAACACTATGCCATGAACTAATTGTTTTTCATTTCCAGTTGGAAAAGTCAGCCAATTTAAAGGTCTTTTGTTCATAATTACAGTACTGTATGTGAGTGTATAAATATATATATGTGTGTGTGTTTGTGTATATGTGTGTTTGTATGTTTGTGTGTGTATATATGTGTGTATATCTATATCATCATTCACTAAGAAAAAAGAACTATACTAAGCATTTCAAGCAGTTAGGTTTAAAATATTGAATTGTGTGGATAAGAAGGAACCACAGGAGCAAAGGAAGATTGGGGTCTAGGTTTCATCTACAGAAACAACCTCCAGGAAAATAAAGATCTGACCCACAAGGACTTCCCCCTCCAAGGAAAGACTTGATTTTATACTTGTCAATCAGCTTTAATCTTTTATTGCCTTTTTTTTTTTTTGCCTTTTTTCCTATTTTCTTTTACTTGAATAATTTTCTTTTACTTGAATAATTTCCTCCTTTATTTTTATTACCTTTTTACTCTTAATTTCTTATGATTTATTTTATTAGTCATTTTCTAGATTATGACTAGATGCTCAAAGCATCTATTTTCAATAATTCATAGTTTTTAATATTAATTGGAGCTTTAAGGTTTCTGTTGCATGCTGAGATGCGTGGTCACATATGTAAGTGTTTATTTTTAAGCATTCTCATTTAGTTTCCTAGTCCTATAATTCTATCTTGATTTCCTCTTTAAAGAAGCTTTTTACCATATGTAATGCTTAATATTTTTATTATGGATTTCTATTCATTTTTATTATATATTTATTAATTGTTTTATATATACTTACATTTTGTAATCTATACTTAGTCTATTTTGAAAATATTTCATTGACATTAAATACATACACACATACATACATATGCATGTATGTGTATATATATATGTGTGTGTGTGTGTGTGTGTATACTTTGTTATGAATAGTCACATACTCTATATGGAAAATTTTATTTTTCATGTTTCTAATTTTTTTTCACTAAAGTGTCAATTTCTGAGAAAGGCACACTAACATATACTATTTCTAGATTTTTCAAATTCTCCCCATTTTAAATTTTATTGACTTTTCCAATTGTTTACATAACTATATAATTTTGGATAAGAACATCACATTTTCATATGTGCATATAGTTCACTCAACCAAAGTCTGCTTAACAAATGGTTATGGGAAAGTTGGACAGCCAAATACAAAAAAAAAAAAAGAAAAAGTAATGAAACTAAATCATATTCAACTTCACACAGACACATTAATTAAAAATTGATTAAAAACTTGTATATAAGGCCCTCCCTGGTGGCGCAGCGGGTTAAAGCACAGCACTGAGAAGCCAAAGCCACTTCCGCATGAGTTCAATCCCCGCCTGCCCCGGAGGTGACCACATGGCGTGGCAGACCTCTCCTGACCCGCCCGCTGCTCCCCTCAGCAGTGTACTTCATCGATCTGCCTGTTCTGTTCTCCACTCTGTCTCTGGTGAAGCTCTCACCGCCCCTGAGCCTCTGGCCTGTACCCCAGTTCTGTATGAACAAATAAATCTTCTAAAAAAAAAAAACTTGTATATAAGACCTAAAACTATAAATACATAACAGGGAAAAACATAGATAATACAGTTTTGGACATCAGCCTCATACAAGCATTTGTGACTTAATAGAAAGGAAAACAAAACAAAAGTAAGCCAATGGTACCCCATAAAACTAAGGAGCTTTTGTATAACAAAAGAAACCATCACAAAATCTAAAGAATGAGAAGATATTTGCATACCACACATTTGACAAGGTTTTAATATCTAAAATATATGAAGCACTCATACAACTCAATAAAAACAAACAACCCAATTGCAAATGAGCAAAAAAAATTGACTTCTCTAACAAAGACATTCTTCAGACAAGCACATGAAAACAGTGTTCCCACATGTTATAAGGAAAATACAAATCAAAACTACAATGAAAAGTGTTTTGTGTTTTACATGCAATGAATGACTTAGCAAAAAGAGAAATTTAGAAAATAACTCCACCTACAATGACAACAAAGATAAAGAAACATCTGATAGCAAATTTAACAAAGGAGAAGGACGTATATACAAAAAAGGAAAGATATTGTCAGTGGAAATAAAGAAAAAGATATTGTCAAGGGAAATAAAGAAAAATTACACAAAGAAATATAAACACATTCTTTGTTTATGGGTAAGAAGATTAAACAATGTTAAAATGGCCAAATTACCTATTACAATTGATAGATTCAATGCATTACCTATTAAAATCCCAGTGACATTTTTCAAAAACAACTATAAAATTTGTATAGAACCACAAGAGACTCTGAATAGCCAAAACAACTAACAGAAAAGAGGAAAAAAGGGGTGTCATGTTCCTTGACTTCAAATTATACTACACAGAATATTGATTAAAACAGTATGGTATTGGCTCCCAAAAGACACAAAAAACACTGATTGGAAAAGATACCTGCACCCCCATGTTTATTGCTGCTTTATTTACAATTGGA